GGTGCAAGTACTCCGCAATTCCACCATGTCCTGTTAACACTTGTACCTGTGTGGGTGTCAACTTCGTCTTTCTCACTATCCGGTATGCTATTGCAACATCCGGTAGGAATATTTTGGTGACTTGCCCAGTGGTCGAGGTCTCGTATCTGTCCTGCCAGATTCGAACGGTTTCCTCTCTGATTTTCTTTTTAACGTAGGACATGGGGATTTTGTCGTAGTCTGGAGTGGCTGTCTCCCGGAGTGCCGCCGCCTTGGCAAGCTCATCAGCTCTCTCATTTCCAGACGTGCCTACATGAGCCCTCAACCAAAACAGCCGTATCACTCTTCCCTCTTTTCTCATCTTCCCTATGCTTTCTTGAATGGCCTTTGATAGGGGGTGGCTTGCTTTAGGGTTTGCTAGCAGATCGAGCGAAGATCTTGAGTCACTCATAATGTTAACAACAGGTTTAGTGCTCGATTCAGCTAGTTTGGTCGCCCTGAGAAAGGCATAGAGCTCGGATTGGAAGACTGTACAGGATGGATCCAGTTTAAAGGTGGAACTACTGATCTCCCTACCATCTTCCCACCACGTTAAAGCTGCTCCGACCCTCCCTTCTATCTTACTTCCATCGGTGTATATGTGAGGGCCGGTTAGTTGGTGGAGGTTTGTGTTTCCGATTGTTTCCAGTAGCTCATATTCCAATTTGACGAGTTTAGAGGGATGAGGTTGATCCAAGTGATTTACACGGTTTTCAAGCTCTCTTCCTGGTGGTAAATAGTCCAGTGTGCCTTGTTTCCTGGTTTGGTACAGGCTGGACGCTTCTTTTATTCTCAGGTCTAACGGAAGCAGACCCGAGATGGCAAGCGCGGAAGTGAGCGATACCGTGCGGTACGCTTTACAGATCTTCTGCGCGAAGCCCCTTTGCAACGTGTTTAGTTGGTCTTTGATCATCTGAAGTTCTGTTGCTGAGGACCACGCGCTCGAAGCGTACATCACTATAGGTTCGACGACTGCAACGTATATTGTCCTTACAATCTCACCATTGAGACCCCAGGTCACCTTGGCCGCGCATGCAAGCTGTTTGTATATGTCAGCCGCTTTTTTTGCATACGGCTGCTACATGCGGTTTAAAGGTGAGTCCACGGTCAATGATGAGACCGAGTACTTTAATTTCCTCTACGAGGTTTACTCTGCTGCCGGACATTTGCAGGTTGGGGAGGTCAAATTTAAGTTTTTTAGTGACAAGCATTGCATTTGTTTTATGCGCTGCAAACTTTAGCTTGTTCTGGGTTCCCCACTTCTTTACTCTTTTTAGAGTGTCATTGGCCTGTTGCTCCAGGGCACTCGTTGAGTGACTCGAGAACACCAAGACGACGTCATCTGCAAATGCCTGACAATACACCCCTTCGTTCGTAAGTTGGTGCAGCAGTGAGTCTAGGATAACATTCCAAAAGGTTGGTCCACCGATAGATCCTTGAACACACCCCTTCGTAGTTCCCCTCTCACTCGTTGCTCTGGCATAGTTAATTACGATTTTTCGATCTTGAAGGTAAGAGCCAACCATATCGTAGAGGTTTTTGGGACATTTCTTTTTGGCTAGTTGCAGTTTTAATGCTGGCCACCATGCGTTGTCAAAGGCTCCCTCTATATCTAATGAAACAACAAGGACGATCTTCTTATTCCTCGCTTCGTTTTTGATGTATTTCAATAGATCATAGAGGGCGTCCTCTGTACCACGTTGAGGCATGAACCCATACTGGTTTTTATTAAGGGTTGGGAGGATGTACCACTGGAGTCGGCCCACCATCAACTTCTCGACTATTTTTCCGAGTACTGACAGGAGACCTATTGGTCGGTATGACTTTGGATGTGTATAGTCATCCTTTCCTGGCTTACGGATGATGACCACATGTGCAGTTTTCCACTGCTTGGGAAAGTACGCCAATTTCAAGCACTTGTTGGCTATCGCTAAGAATACCTTCCTGTTGCAGTTTATTGCAGCGGAGCAGATGTCAGCTGTTAGCCCGTCTGGTCCAGGGGCCTTTTTGGGGTTTAGTGTTAGTAACACTGATTCAAGCTCCGCTTCTGCAAAAGGTGGGTCATCTTCTGACAAACCTAGGTCTTTGTTAATTTCCGTCAGCTCTCGTATTTTGGTGTGGTATGGCTGATCTGTTTCCACACAGTCGTCAGGGTAAAATGTTTGGGCCAAGAGTTCTGCCGACTCTTTTGGTGTCAGAGTTTCCCCTTGGATGTTTCTTAGGAGCATGTCCTCATATCTTCTTGAGGATTTCCGGATAACTCTGTAAATTTTATCCCACATGCTCTCCCTTTCCTGTGTCGTGCAGAATTCCTTCCAGCTTTCGGTTTGCGCCTCCTCAACTTTTATGGTGTATTGTTGTTTAAAACTTATGTATTCGTCTATTACGTGTTGTCTTCGACTTGGTGCCGCATTTCTAATACGTCTTTTTTTCCTATGGACTTCTTTTTTGAGTTGGTTGAGGGATTTTGACCACCATGGGGGCGTTGCATTCACCCCCCTCATGCCCATTTTCGGAATAGTCTCATCACAAGATTCCTGGATTGCTTTTGTGTAGGCTATTGTGATGGATTCCAGATCGTCATGGATTTCCGCCTCCTCAATTAGTGTGGGAGTTATGGCTCTTTCTTTTAGAAGGGATCTAAAGCGTGTTGAGAATTCCGACCAGTTTGCCTTTCTGGTGTTGTATTTGCGCGTTGTGCAGGGCCGTAATTGTGTCAAGACCGCTTTGGTGCGCAGTGTAAACATAATGGCGTTGTGGTCTGATGTAATTAGGCTTCTCTCCACTCTCCAGTCCTCCACATTGCCGAGAAGTGACGAACTGCAAGCAGTGACGTCTACTATGCTCGAACAAATTCTCCCCCTTCTGTATGTTTCGAAGGTAGGCGTGTCACCCGTGTTCAGAATATGGAGATCCATTTCATTGAGGAAGGTGTTATATGCCGCGCCTCTTTCATCTTCGGAATTACTTCCCCACCATTGGCTCCAAGCATTTATGTCTCCAGCCACTATGATGTTGTTTGTGTGAAGTTTTGCGCAAGCTGCTTGGATTCGCCTAAGGTAGGGATTTATATCTTGCTCTCCCTCGAGGTAAACTGACACGACTCCCAGTTTTAAATTTCCTGCAACGAGAAGTACTGCCGCTTCTGTTTCGGTAACCAGCTGTGGATCATGGATAATCTCCAGCTGATCTCCGAAGATCAGCACTGCGGCCTTTACCGGTTTTTGTCTATTCAGGCTGCATTGAACTACTCGCGTGCCAGGATGTTCTTTAATAACGCCATTTTTTCCCACATAGGGTTCCTGTACTATGGCAATCGACACTCCTTTATTCGATGCAACCTGAAGTAGTTCCGCCGTTGCTACCCTGGAGCGTTGCAAGTTCACCTGAATGATTTTGAGGTCTGACCTACTAATGTTGGAGTTTATATTATTTTGGTTGCCCTTAGCAGTAAGACAATAGAAATAAAAAAAAATATATATAAACATATATATGTGAACTCACTGCTTAGGCTTAAATATTTAAGAAATGTAAGTAGTGTAAGGAGTACATTTATAACAGTATTTTAAAAGTTAATAAAATAAAGTAAAGCAAAAAAAAGGTACGGACTTCGAGTCTGTAGAGTAAACTTATTACAAGAAAAAAAAAAAAACCTAACCTAACCTAACCTAACCTAACCTAACCTAACCTAACCTAACCTAACCTAACCTAACCTAACCTAACCTAACCTAACCTTAACCTAACCTAACCTAACCTAACCTAACCTAACCACCTAACCTAACCTAACCTAACCTAACCTAACCTAACCCATACAATTACACCTTATAACTTTGCATGAAAACATTGTAAATATTCCCTGGCTGCCCTGAAATATTTAATTAGTCCACCTTATTCCACAACCGCCGTATCAGCCAAAATCTGCAACAATAAACGTAGAAATTAGCAAAATTTTAAGAAAGTTAGATACCGAGGTCCACCTTACTCCACAACCGCCGTATCAGCCAAAATCTGCAACAATAAACGTAGAAATTAGCAAAATTTTAAGAAAGATAGATACCGAGGTCCACCTTACTCCACAACCGCCGTATCAGCCAAAATCTGCAACAATAAACGTAGAAATTAGCAAAATTTTAAGAAAGTTAGATACCGAGGTATAGTGGTCAGAACAAATTTTCATACAATTACACCTTATAACTTTGCATAAAAACATTGTAAAAATTCCCTGGCTGCCCTGAAATATTTAATTAGTTTAGTCTTATTAGTTTACTGTGTTTTCAAGCCATTTCGGGCGATATTTCTAATTTAAATTAAAAATTATTGTTTTTGAGAAACGTAATATATCAAAATTTTTCGTCTATATTAAAATTTTACAAATCTCTTCCGTTTTTGCTCCTATCAGGTCCACCTTACTCCACAACCGCCGTATCAGCCAAAATCTGCAACAATAAACGTAGAAATTAGCAAAATTTTAAGAAAGTTAGATACCGAGGTCCACCTTACTCCACAACCGCCGTATCAGCCAAAATCTGCAACAATAAACGTAGAAATTAGCAAAATTTTAAGAAAGTTAGATACCGAGGTATAGTGGTCAGAACAAATTTTCATACAATTACACCTTATAACTTTGCATAAAAACATTGTAAAAATTCCCTGGCTGCCCTGAAATATTTAATTAGTTTAGTCTTATTAGTTTACTGTGTTTTCAAGCCATTTCGGGCGATATTTCTAATTTAAATTAAAAATTATTGTTTTTGAGAAACGTAATATATCAAAATTTTTCGTCTATATTAAAATTTTACAAATCTCTTCCGTTTTTGCTCCTATCAGGTCCACCTTACTCCACAACCGCCGTATCAGCCAAAATCTGCAACAATAAACGTAGAAATTAACAAAATTTCGCCCTCCCACCCACCCTGTTTTCATTACTAAGGTAGATTCATATATATAAATTTACAAAAGTCTCTTATTTACAAAAAATTAAAATGAGTTCAGTGCCAGGTAACGTAAATAGGTCCGAAGAGCAGCGGAAACGTCCCACTTTACAGAATATTGCAACCAAAGAGAAACCAAAAGAAATACACACTCGGAAATCCGATGTACTAGAAATAGCTGTAACAGCGATGTCTAAGGCCAATAGATTGTATCAGGACGCTAAGTTGCAGCTAGAGCAGTCTGGAAACTTAAAGACTTCCATAAAAGAGACGGTGGTAAATAACCTTTCTGAACTTTTTGGAATCGTATTACAGTTAAACGAAGAAAGGCAGACTCTACTCCTACAATTGGAGAAAGCTCGTATACAACTTAAAGACGATCTACTTAGGCAAGAAAAACAGTATGTAGAGAGCCTTAGAGCACTAATGGATCAGGGTAGTATAAGAGATATTCAGTCTGCTCTCACCGAAACAGTGAGTGATATGAGAACCCTAACGGACTCATTGAAGCACACGATGGGCAATGACACCTTATTGGATAAACATACTTTTATGGGCAAATCGGAGGATACCAGAAGGGAACTGATGGAAATAAAAGAAGAATTATCATCCCTAAAAGACCAAATGGGTGGACTTCGAGAGTCTTTGGTTATAAGCGAAACAAATGAACCCACATATGCCAGCATAGCTGGTCGACCTAAGGCCAAAATAAACAGTAAAATGATGGCTCCAATGCACTCAGTTCTGGTATCGTCTGAAGAAGAACAAGACACTAGCGGAGATATAATAAATAAAATTAGAACAGCAATTGACGCTAAAATCACTGGGTTGAGAGTGGATAAACTACGGAAGGCCAGGGATCAAAAGGTAATAGTGGGATGCCAGACACATGACGAAGTTCAAAAAATTGCGGAAAGAATCAAAAGAGCATCCTCAAAATTGCTAGTACAAGAAGTCGAGAATAAAGACCCTCTGATAATTATGAGAGATGTTCTATCTTTAAATAAAGACGAAGATATTCTAGCAGCTCTGAAAAACCAGAATAAGCAACTCCTATCCGATATACCAGATGATCAATACAGAGCAGCAATTAAATATCGGAAAAAAAGCTAGGAATCCGCATATTAATCATGTTGTAATTCAAGTATCCCCAAAAGTGTGGCAGAGACTGACAACAGTGGAAAAAGTCCACATTGACTTGCAACGTGTAATAGTAAGAGACCAATCACCGTTGGTACAGTGTACGCGGTGTCTGGGGTACGGTCACGGAAAGAAATTCTGTAAAGAGACACAGGATTTATGCAGCCATTGTGCCGGACCCCATGTTAAGGACGACTGTCCATTATGGGCAGTAAAAGAACCACCGACATGTCGCAATTGTTTGCACGCAAAAAGCGAAAGGGCAGACCACAATGCATTTGACGACAGTTGCCCTATCCGAAGGAAATGGGACGCGATCGCGAGATCGAGTGTAGCGTATTGCTGAAATCGATACAACGAATTATGGGACCACCAGTGATGAAGAATCATTAAGAAATCCACAGGACTACCGTATTATACAAGCAAATCTCCAGAGGAAGAAATTAGCAACTAAAGAGTTAATGATAGAAGCAGAACAAAGAAAAATTAATATCGCTTTGGTACAGGAACCATATATTGGAGCATTAGGGGAACTTAAACAAGAAAAAGGGACAAAAGTAATTCAGTGTACAAGAAACAGAACTAAACCTGTAAAGGCAGCAGTAATAGTTTTTGATCAAAATATTAATGTCATAGAGGATCCAACACTCGTAACGGAGAATATAGCAGTGGCTCAATTAAAAACGAATAAGTGGGAATTAGGAGTCATATCGGTCTATTTTGAGGACAGTTTACCTATCGAACCCTATCTCGCACAACTGAAAACTATCATTGAAAAACTAAAAACAAAATACGTACTAATAGGAGGTGATTTCAATGCATGGAGTACGTGGTGGGGAAGTGCTAGGGAAGATCATAGGGGAGAGGAATTGGCAGGAATGATAGAGGATACAGGTATGCACATATTAAATGAAGGAAATGAACCCACATTTGATACTATTAGGGGTGGGAATATCTATCAGAGTATAGTAGACGTAACAATCAGTAGCGAAAATTTATTAAGTAAAGTGAAGGATTGGAGAGTAAATAAAGCTATTATAAGTTCTGACCACAACTGTATAACATTTAAACTAGCATTGTTAAAACCTACGGAAAATAATAATTTTAAAAGTACTAGAATATATAATACTAAAAGGGCGAAATGGACAGATTTTAAAAATAAACTATGTGAAACACTTAAAATGAAAAATATTAGTGAAGAAGAGATAACAGAACTAAAATCAAAGGAAAAACTAAAAACTACAATTAATACATATATAGAATGTGTTAAGGAAGCAAGTGATTCGAATATCCCAAAAATTAAAACTAGAAATAAAATTACTATACCGTGGTGGACAGAAGAGCTTAATAAGTTAAAAAAAGAAATGACAGTGAAGAAAAGAAGAATATCGTATGCTGCCTCTCGCCGTCGGCGCTACGTAGTAGAACAATATTTGGAGATAAAAAATAAATATGAAGAAGAAGTAGCACAAGCACAAATCAACAGTTGGAAAAAGTTTTGCGGTAAGCAGGATAGGGAAAGTCTATGGGACGGGATCTATAGAGTAATCAGGAAAACATCAAAAAGACACGAGGACATACTGTTAATTAGGGAAGGTAAATCGTTGGATGCAGAGGAATCAGTGAAACATATGGCGGAGACATTTTTCCTCGATGACAATTTGGAAAACGAAATACCAGAACAATATCATACACGAATGAAAGCTAACAGAATGTGCACTCAAACTACAGATGATATTTGGGATGTTCCATTTACAGCAACCGAATTACAATTTGCTACCAGCAGCTTCCATCAAGGAAGGCGCCGGTCAGATGGCCTCACAGCGGACATCTGTGCCGCGGCGATAAACGTTGATAAGCAGATATTCTTAGCCTTGTTGAACAAGTGCTTAGAATTATCATACTTTCCGGATCCATGGAAGGAAGCTACTGTGTTAGCACTTAGAAAACCGGGAAAAACGGATTACTCTCTCGCGAAATCATATAGGCCGATAGGGCTCCTCTCTGTCATGGGTAAGATCCTAGAAAAGATGATGGTGAGAAGACTAAAATATTACATTTTGCCAAAATTAAATCCCCGTCAGTATGGGTTCGTCCCACAGCGCTGTACGGAGGACTCCCTCTATGACTTGATATTACACATCAAGAACAATCTGAGAAATAAGGAAATAAGTATTGTAATATCCTTAGACATAGAGGGGGCCTTCGACAGCGCGTGGTGGCCTGCTATTAAAAATAGACTGATGGAGATAAAGTGTCCTGTGAATCTACGTAGATTAGTAAATAGTTATTTTACAGATAGGAAAGTTACAGTTAGATATGCGAACGAAGAATTTACAAAAAATAATACAAAAGGGTGCATTCAAGGCTCGATTGGTGGTCCCATATTTTGGAATTTGCTATTGGATCCGTTGCTAAATGAACTAGAAGAGCGTGGAGTGTATTGCCAAGCCTTCGCCGACGATATCGTTCTGATCTTCTCAGGTCACGTGACAAGCGATATTAAAATAAATGTAGATGAAACTCTTTCACACATATATGAATGGGGATCAAAAAATAAATTAAAATTTGCCCCACAAAAAAACTTATGGTATGATAGTAACAAATAAATTGAAGTATGAAACCCCGCAATTGTTCATGGGAGGTAAAGAAATAAAACTAGTAGATGAGATAAAAATATTAGGCCTAATCATCGATAAAAAAATTGAAATTTAATAGTCATGTTTCCTATATTTGTCAAAAATCCATAAATATTTATAAATTACTGGCTCGTGCAGCAAAAATTTCATGGGGGCTTAAACCCGAGGTGATCAGAACGATTTACGTATCAGTTATTGAACCAGTTATAATGTATGCCGCAAGCGTTTGGGCACCAGCTGCCCACAAAATAGCAATCAAAAACCAGCTAAACGCAGTGCAGAGGGGATTTGCACAAAAAATTTGTAAATCATATCGCACGGTCTCACTAAACGCAGCATTGATACTCTCAGGACTACTACCTTTAGATTTAAGGTTACGCGAAGCTGCATATTTGTATGAAGCAAAACGCGGTAAACCAGATGCTAACCTACTTAAAGACAGAGAGATCGAAGGAAAAGTAAGTTTTTTAGAAATGATGCATCCAGCCTGCGAAGAAGAAATTGACTTTGAAATAATAGAGAATACAACATCAGAAAAATTAGAGGAACCACATACAAACAGCATACAAATATTCACCGATGGAAGTAAAATTGAGGGCAAGGTTGGAGCTGCAATCTCTATTTGGAGAAATAAACAAGAAATAGATAATAAAAAATTCAAATTAGATTCATTCTGCACTGTCTTTCAGGCTGAACTGTACGCAATGCATCAAGCTATTCAAAAAGCAAAGAATTACCAAAGTACTTACATATACAGTGATTCAAGATCTGCACTGGAACTTGTCAAAAATCAATCAGCATATCAACCGTTGGCTTTCGAAATTAGGCGAGATATCGCTAAATTAAGAAGTCAAAACAGGAGGATAGGGCTGTATTGGGTTAAAGCACATGTAGGTATTCCCGGAAATGAACGCGCAGATGAACTCGCAAAGGAAGCAGCTTTAAAATTAAAAACAAAATTAAATTACGCAAAATGTCCGATTTCGTTCATAAAGAACCAAATTAGACATAAAACAATTAAGGAATGGCATAAGAGATATTTAACAGAAGAAAAAGCCGAAATTACAAAAGTATTTTTTCCAGACGTAGAAGCAGCATATCGCATCCTAAAACAAATTAATTTAACGCCAATATTAGTACAAGTTTTCACCGGTCATGGAGGCTTTGCAGATTATTTGTTCCGTTTTAAAATAAAATCTAGACCAGACTGTACGTGTGATAACAACCAACCCCAATCTTCTCTGCACATAATTATAGACTGCCCTCAATTTTGCAAAAATAGAGCAGACGTGGAACTGCAGATAGGATTAAAATTGACAAAAGAAAATATACATAACATAATGGAAGACAAACGCGGCAGAAACATTTTCACAAAATATTGTATAACCGTAGCAAATAAAATCATAAAAACTAATAAAAGTACCTAAACAAGAACAAGATAAAATTAATTTAGAATATAGAATAAGATACATCAAACAAAAAGTACAATAAAAAAAAAAACCTTGGTAAAAAAAGGACAAAAAAAAAAACAAGAGAGTAAGAAAACTATATAATTAGACATATGAGTACATATGTCCTAATATTATATAAAATGAGTATGCAACATAATAAGAAAAAAAAACAAGAGAATTTAATTAGAAATAGTGTAGAATAGTAAAAAAAAAAAGAATTAATAAAATAAGAATTAACCACATTTGTAATCGATAAAAAAGGAAAAGTAACAACAAAAATATACTTAAACAAAAAATCAAAGTACCGAAAAGCACCTGATATTGAAAAAAAAACGTAGTTCATAGAACACAGAAAAAAAAGAAAAAAAAAGAAGAGAAAGAAAAAAAGCTATATAAAAATAATGAAAAATTAAAATAAACATAAATATATAAAAAAAGCAATCAGCTACATAAGGTCTCCGATCAACATGTCGGAGGATAATAGT